GCCCTGCTCCCACTGTGTGTGCCAGGGTTCCAGCCCTGCTCCCACTGTGTGTGCCAGGGTTCCATCATCCCACCTCCCTCAGCAACCACCAGGGATCGATTACCCACCCCAAAGACAGGCAAAGGAACCTCCACTCTGCAGAGCTCCAAACAATGGAGATAGCCAGCAACCATTTAATCACTATAATTGTCTAACAGAGCAGCAGCATGTTTTCCTTTTTATTTTTTGTTTGGGTTTTAAACAAAACAGTTCAGTTCCTCAGTGTGTGCACCTGCCACTTCACAGACAGCAACTTCCACACCCAAGGGGGCAGGAATCAAATTACCCCTATTTCCAAGTCATTAAGTTCTGTTTCACTTTCCTCACAGGTTAAGCTTAAGAGGAGAGGTGCATGTAGAGACTGGGAGAGAAACAAAGCTCAGTCAAATGGTGCTTTTATAAAGATATGCTTGAACAGCAACTTCAGTGCCTGCATCTCAAAAAGGAGGAACGCTGCCCTGCAAAAGTGAAGTTTCGTCCACACTGCCAAGAATATTCTTTCTGTGGTCCTGTAGTTTGAATAGATGAGGCAAGATTTTAGAAACCAGTTAAACTAGACTTTAACAAACTATTAAGCAGATGGGAGCAAGTGGATCTTGTTGAAATATGGATGGGGAAAAAACACTGCCATGTAAAAATATGAGCAAGTACAATTAGAAATACTCTTGGACACTTATTTCTATTAAGTGTTCTCTTTTTTCTTTCTTAAAAGAGCGAGAAGGTCAGGAAGGAGAAGGGTTGATCTATGATCTACAGCAATTCAAGTTTGTAACTTAATTTCACCACTTAACAGAACCACTTAACAGAATAAGAAATCAGTGAAGAAACAGCTGTCACTGAACATGGAGACAGATATTTCTTTTAAAGCACTGTTAGAAATTTTACTAAAACAATGTGACTTTATGCAGTTTAAAGTGATTTTTCACTAGTCTGAAGTGAAGTATTTATGTCCCTTGACTACTGAAAACACAGAAAATACTGGTTTTCCATTACATAAAAATACAAGAAAAAAAAAATCTCCCCACCCCAAAGTCCCCTCTGCTTTAATCTGTAACTGCTGTTAGGGGGATGCAGGGCAGGACCCACTTTATGTGGTACTTCTGTATTTTGGTACCTAGGTGGGTCCCACGTGCCTCCAGCAGCTGAGCACTGAAAGCAGGATAAATCTTCTGCAATTCTTAGCACGAAGCAAAGCCAGCACTTCAGGACTGCAATCACTCACTGCAGTTTTGGAAGGTGTTTACTGCTTTTCTCTAAGAATCTCCCAGCACGTATTCTTATCCAGGCAGATGTTTTTTGCTGTGTAGTTCAGCTCACAATGGATATTATGCACTTTGTTTCAAGATGCTGAGTTCTGCATTTTTTTAAGGGTAGCAACAATTTGCTTGTGGCTAGAAGTATGACTCTTCTTTAAGTAAAACAGTGACACACCTAAGGCTAGATTTAAAAAAAAAGCCGGGTGTAATTATCGGCTTGCTGACACAATAGGTGAAACTGTGTGTCATACTTTATTTGAATATTTTTTTTTCACCATTTCTCTTTGGAGTGGCAATTCTACCTTCAGGAGTTGATTACATTCAGAAAAGGTATGGCCACCAGAACCACACAGCTTTTTGAGTAAAGCCTTATATAGCGTTAATACTTGCCAAAATACTTCTCTGCTCTGCTCTCAAAACAACAGCTTCATTGGAAAACTAAGACATTACAAACCACACCACCTTACAGCTGTTCATGAGCAATTTTCAGCTTCCCCTTGGCTGTCCACCCTGTTTTTCACTCCATTCCACCAACTTATTCCCAACAACTGAAGTTGTCATAGCTGGAACAGCCACAGCGTTCACTGCCATTACAACCACGGGCAGAGGGATATCAATTATTGTCACTTGACACTTTCCTAAAAAGAAAAGAAGAATTTGTTTCCAGAACAGGCCAAGGGACAGGAACTTCTTCAGAAATACAACCTCCTTCATACTTGTCCACGAGTTCCCACCAACAGCTTCGTGACAGTAAAACAAAACAGCACAAACCCCGAGAAATCCCCAGGGTGAGCTTGCAAACAAACCTCTGGAGAGCAACACTGCTTTGCAGCACAGCAGGGTAGAGGGAGTAAATGAAATATATTGCTCAAAGTACCATGAAAGAAAACCTCTGATAAACAGAACAGACCAGAATTCAGAGGAAGGTAAGGCCAGAACACCCACAATTGGGCTTTTTTAAGTTTCATGAGCAATAAGCTCAACAGATCCTGAAAGGAAACTTAATGTTGTTCAACTCAGAGGATGGAAGCAAAGATTTTATTTTCATCAGGCTGCTGACCAAATCTACAAAAATCACCAGATTTGAACCAAACTTAAGTATAGGGCTATACTTGTCCTGAAGATTTGCTGGCAGTGAGAATATAAATGTAACTCTGCAGTGAGAATTTCTCTCTAACATCTAATCTAAACCTCTCCTAGTTTAAAAACCACTCCCCCTTGTCCCTATGCAAACACAGGGTAGACTTTGGTGTTTATCATTTTTGTACAAACACATCTTTAGGAACCCTCAGTTAAGAATTTCACACCATATATAATTTACCATGAACTCAGCTAGAAGGGAATTAAATATGACCCTTCAAAATAGAATATCTCTAGTTTGCTGTGGCAAATATCACTATTTCTAGCATGCTTAAGTGAAGCTGAGCTATTCTGGAGTTCCACATTCTCTTTCCAAAAGTTATCCCAAAACAGTGGATGGCATCACATCCTAGCAAAGCTCAGTGTTACCAGACTCCTCTCCTTTAGTATCTATGCCATTCTAGATGGAACATCACCAGAATAACATGGAACTGCTTCATCAGAGACACCAGGCTAAAATGTCTCAGCATTTCTTGTCTGCTCACTTTGGAAAAAAAGAAGAAAAACAGTGTTTGGCCTTCAAAAGTTCAACAGCAGGTTCTTAGACAGAAAGATTTTATCAAGGTCTCAAAAAACCCCAGGAGCAAGTACCACACAGGTCAGAGACCTGTTGGGTGACCCCACACTGGAGAGTGAGGCTACAAGGATAAAGAACAGCAGAGACCAGCCAGGGCACAGTGCACTGGGATCAAGGAACAAAAATGGATTGATTTACAGACTGTCTCAAAAGAACTTTTAAAAATAGGTTTTAAAGAAGAAAGAAACAGTCACATATTCTTTGGAAACCTGCTGAGCTCAGTAGGTAACTCTGTGTTTACAAATCAGGCTTTTTGGATGAGACTGAAATAGCTCTGTCAGTAATCTGAAAGCAGCCCCTAAAAATTCAACCAGATACCCAGGAGCACAGATCAGTGGAGAGTCCAAACTTCTTTTTCTTTTTAAAAAGATAATACTAAATGACCACTGATCAAAATTCCTCTGATAGGGACAAAGATGCCTGAGTTGCTGCTATCAATGGTTGTCCTAAAAGTGTGCCAAGAAAAACTGTTAGAAGCCACCTCTGTGTGTTTGCAGTGCAAGTCACCCATTAAAGACACCTCAAATGTCAGCCAGTGTGTGGCCAACAAAAAGACCAAACACCAAAGACAGAATCCCACAGGCAAAGAGGCATGGAAAGCAAGAGACGAAAGAAAAAAGGTAAAACCAGTTTGTATCTGCAAAAATATCAACAGTATTAAGTGAAAAGCTGCACCAAGTTCCAGTCCACCACTGCAGCACTGCAGATTTGGAAATATTTTGAAGATTTTACTGTTGAAAGTCTTTTGAAACAGAAACCACAGATTGAAAAAGAACTACACACACATGCTTCCATCCACTGCTAAGTGGGGTACTGGACTGGGCTACTCTATAAAACTACAGGGTATCAAAAGAGAAAACAAATTCTCTCATGTATTTGATAACTTTAACTAAAACATGTTCTTATTTATAATAAACCCTCCATTATTCAAAAGTGCTGTGTTACTAGGAATTCAGAATCACTGTGTAAAGTTCTTAGCCCTTCCAGAAACTGGAAGTGGTTTTGTTATTTACTCAAAATAATCTTTGAATGGGAACACTTCAAAATGAAAATTTTAAAACATATGGAAGAAGAGCTGAAGTGCAGTTTATTGTTCTCATCAACTTGCAGGCTGTAAGCTGCCATTAAAGACCTACTTTATTCTTTGCACAACACCCATCTGACAAAGTTCAAGAAACCCTGGATCGTTAGGAACAAGTGTTCACCTGAAAAGGTAAGAAGGAACTTCTTCCATAAATCTTCTCCTAATATTCCATGTCTTTATGGCTCCATAAAGCAACTCCCCTGTTTTAGAGTGGTTTATTTCTAATTCTACTGAACTGTGGTTCCAAATCTTCTTAAACTGCCAGAATTTTGCTGAGCTCAGCACAAGAGTGGGTGATCAAGTAGGACAGGACACCCTGTCCCTGCCAAAGCCTCCACTAATTTCTCTCAATCTCCTTACAGTGAGTTTCTTTGGACTTTTCTTTGGTTTTCCTATGACAGATGAACAGAAGGAAACGGAGTCATAAGGAAACACTTCGATTTGGAAAGGAAACACTTTATGTCATCGTCATCCCGCTCATACTCAGCTCTTCACTTTTAAGCTGTTCAGTGTGCCTGTCAGCAGACATGCTGGTTTTCAGCAGTTCAAACCTTACCTGGAGATGTGGCTGATGAAGGGTATCAGCTCTGTGGGCTCGTAGGCGCGGGCGAAGGCCCAGCACACGTAACAGGCGGCGTCCCTGACGTTGGAGCCCACGCTGCAGGCCCCCCTCTTCTCATCGTAGGTCAGAGCCTTCAGCATGACAGGAACGACTGCCAGGGTGAGAAAATGGACAAAAGCAACAGTCAGGAGCAGCAGGGAACAAAAAAAAAAAAAAAAAAGGTCTAAAAGCATCCAGTGACCGCTGGAGGAAAGACACGGGGCAGAGTTGTGTGTCCTGAAAGAAAAAAGCACGTGGCTCTCAACACAGACTCACTTTAAAGTTGCTTAGAAAGAAGAGTTGGGTTTTTTAATACACTCCTTTGCTTCTTTATCAGCAGCAGTTTTTTTATTTCCTTCACAGGTAGCTCAATGAGGATTAAGGTAAGTGGGTACATGAGAAGTAACACTGATACAATTTATAACTCGGTGAGACACTGTCAAAGTGATTTTAAAGTGCAGAATTTTAAGGTGTCCACTTTTAAAGGACTTCAAATATTACAGCAACATCCATCACTACAGAAATAGTATTTCTTAAGAAATACAGTCTTGAAAATACCATAAAAGAATCAGTATCCATCTATTTGCAGACAACATTAAGCACAGTAGAAGTCCTAATATGTTAAATTCTTATTAATTAACACAGTTTGTCAATCATTAATATATCAATCCTGAAAGGGACTTAAGTACAGTTTTTGCAGTATCTTAGAGCCAAGTGACACATTTGACACCATTCTTGCACAAAGGAAGCTGTGGTGTTTTATTCCCCACAGAGCTGCTATTTGGAGTATTTTAGGCTTGAACCTGTCTGTGCTGCTGAACTGCACCCATCAGAAAGAGAGAATATGGAAAAGCTGCAAAATAACCCAGAAAAGCAGACAGGTGGGATTTGCTGTCATTGCTCAGACATCTGAAACATCAGTGTACTACACACCTCTTCACCAGCACAGAATGATTTAATGCAAAACCAGAAGCCTTTGATGAGGGAGAACAGCAGATCCCACCACCCCACCACACCCCCAAAAAAGTCTTCTCCCATCAGTCAGGTTAAATCAATACCCCCAACATATCAACTTCTGTTACACAGAGAGGAAAATAGAAACAGATATTCACATCCTGAACAGCCACATGACACACAGAGATACAGAGCTTCCAAAAACTGAAAGAAGAATTCTTTTACAGAGTTCTAGTAACAGATTGCCACAGTTCAAAAAATACTACATGAATACAGGGCTCCTCAGAGGGCCTTCATTTGGTATCTGCACATCCAGATACCGACTCTGAATATATCTCTCTCTAGATGACACAACTTTAATAAATTAATAATGTCTGCAAAAACAACAGCCTCTAGAAAAAAAAGAAACAACTTCTCTCCCTGTTTTCCTCCTTGTATCAAATTTATCAAATGCACCTTTCTTCCTTAGAAAATACTTGTCACAAGGTGATCCCATTAATAAGAAATGGGATCACTGAGCTGTATTTCATTAGCAATCTGTGTCTGGATATCCCTGAGTGGATGCAATCACAAAATAATTAAAACTTCAATGTGCAGCTCTTCAATGTGCAATTACTGTATGCTGCTGCTTTTAACAGAAAGATACACACCACAGCTGGAAAAGGGAAGTGTTAAAAGGTTGTTTAAATTCATTTTAAGCTGCTGAAAGAAATAAAGCAGTAATTAGAGGGATGGGCAAGATATGGCTATTAGAAGCACAAGCACTACACAGGAAAAAGGGCAATTCCTATTCAGGATCAATGATAACAGCAAAGACAGATGGATTTTTGGACACTTCCCAGTTCCAAAAGAAACTGCAATGGAAATCTTTAAAAATGCTGCCTAGCTTGTTTTGAAAACTGCTGCATCAACTGCTGAGAAAAATGGAATTTGCTGGTTCTACAGGACACTCAGACAGGCGCCAAAGGCAATTTTGCAAAGCTGCTGCACATTTCCCTCAGTGCAGGGCGAGCACTCCAGCTCCTTCCAACAGCTGTGAGCACATTCCCACTGCTGTGCAGGGAAGGAAGGAGCAAGGAGGACCCACGAGCAGCTCCTCACATTTGTAATGTCTGTATGACAGAAAAAAAAGTAACATGATTTTTCAACTCAGGGCATTAATGTCCCGAATTCCAGGGACAGCAGCAAATGGCACCCGATTTACCAGGGTTGGGGATGCTCCAAGGTCTGTTACTTGGAGCAGCTCGAGCTCTCACACCTCTCTGGTGTCCTTCTCCTACATCTGGGACTCACAGCATTGCTCTGGAAAAGTCACTGCAAAGTCTGGAGAGCAAAGAGGGACAGTGAAAAGGAAGGAAGTAACAGAGGGGACTGGGAAGGTGGGAGAAATAGGGGAACCAAGGTGAAGTGTGCAGCAGTAAGGGCTGAGTGAATATAAATACAACAACAAGGGAAATACTGATCTAGGGGTCATCTGGTAAAGTTTTGTGCTTATCACTGGTTGAATGTTTACTGGTGAACTGTGGACTATAAGAAATGTTATGTAAAAACTTCTCCTGACAAATGTTTGTGGGTTTGAAAAAGTGGGTTCAGCACTATGCTTCCTGTTGGTATTTAAGAGGCATAAAACTCCAAAATTCCAGGTTTCACTTTATTCCTTACCCTAGAGTTCCTCAAACACCATGTCAAATTCAGACCCAAAATCAATTTACCCCCCAAAAAAAATCAAAATAAAACACCCCAAAACTCTAGAAAAAACCCAAATCTTCCAGAAGAAACTTATTTCAGTTTGGTAGGGCAGGGACATAATTCTTTGGTTTTGAAATTATGAACATGCCTTTTTTATTGAAAAGTAGGAGGCTGGGAGATACAACAATGAAAAACCACAGACTGTTACTTAACTTTGTAAGCTTAACTTCACAAGTTTAATTTTACAAGTTACCAGCTCTTTCACTGACCCACAGTATTTTTAAAATTTTGCCATCAAAACCAGAGGATAAATAGTGTCCACTCTCTGGCTAATCAGTAAAAGAAAATCCACCTGTTTAGGTCTGTGAATGCTCAAGAAAACACAGTCACCTTTACCTGTAGCCTGGAGGTATCAATAAGCACCTGCTTCACCCCACCCTGCCTTGCCCAAGAGCGTCACTGCAGTTGCAGCACAGCTTTGCTCAAGCCTTGGGAAAATAAAGAAACAACTTCTGGCTTCAAAGCATTGCAAACAACAGGGTTTTCTTCCCCCCCACCCCCCCATATTGGAGACAGATATTTTGATTTTTAAGATTTTACACAGCTGGATGCTCAGCACCTTTCAGTGAGAGAGCTGGTAAAGGAATTGTGGCAGATGTTGGATACTGAAAGGTCACATGAATGAAAAAAGCCTCATACTAGTCCTTTAAACACATACTCTAAACCAACCTCCACTTTAACCCAGCCATCTGGAGGCCTATGTCACTTGAACTCCACATTGTAATTCTTTTTTTTCTTAATTTATTGCTATGTTTCTCATTTAAAACATACAAATAAAGCAGTCAAACAAACAAACAACAAAAACCTGTTCCTCAGCCCTAGGCCTTGTCTCCACAGGAAAATTGCAAAATGTCAAGTCAACCCTATTTAATTTAAAACAGATTTTCACTGGATCTAGAGTTAAATGAGAAGTGTCTAAATTTAGTGTAAAACTAAAATATGTAGCTTAAAACAGAGCAAGCCAATGTTATCTCTTAGACAAGTATTACGTTTTTATAGGGACTGTTTATGCAGAAAAGCTGTCTCAATCTGTAAAAAATATACTGCAAAATCTTCTATTTTAGAATTACATAAGAAAAAAGTAATACAGAAAGTGGATGTCAGCTGTTGCTGAAGGATGTATCGCGCACAATGTCTCTATAATTAATGAATTACGAAGCTTTAACACAGTTATATATTCAACACAAAGAACAGTGATTTTATCCTTCGAATTTTTCTTCAACTAAACTCCTTGCAGAAGTGCCCTTTGTGTGCCTCAGGCTTAAAAAAAAAAAGTGCAGCCAGCCACATTTAGAATTTATCAGCTTCTCATGTGTAAAACAGCACATCCATCGCTGCTGTTCAGATGCTAAAAACAGAACTCTGGCTCCTCCCTGTAAAGAATGTCAAGTTTGGGACCTCTCACTCCTACATGGCACCCTGACCTCTGTTGGAAAGAGAGGCAGGTCCTAATTGGAACTTTGTTGGGGCTCTTGTACTAATATTTACTGTACCAACAGAGTTCAGGTTAGGCCCATTATCAGAAATAAGTATTTGTTTAACGTTCTGCCAAACGTTAATCCTGATTAAGAATTAACTGATCCCTGATTTGTTCTTGTTTTCAATACAAGGTGTTGACTCCAGAATTTGTTCTTAAAGGGCTGCTTCATCCAGAGGATAAATGTTCCAATGAGGACCAGACAGTGAGTGTGTTGAAAAGTTCTCGGTGTTCCTGTGAGATGCTCCGACATCACATCCCGAAGGGCAAGTGCCTGAAAACCACCCACGGATGACCTCTCCTCTTCCATTCCTGCCCCCAGGGCTGACCTCGTTAGGAGTTTGCCAGGGAAGAAGGAGGGAAGATACCAGAGCTCCTGCAGGCTCAGACTGAAGAGCTGAAGTCTCTGAACTGCCACAACCTTCTCCCCATCCCCGATGCTGAGCCCACACGAGGCTGCGAGATCCACACACAAACCCAACCTGCATTCTCTGCCCCGTGACTACCAAGGGCTGTGTCTGTCTGGCTGCAATCTCAGTTCAGTCTCTCACTACGTAATGAATTAAGAGAGCCTTTAATTATATGCTCACGTGGTATTTTTTCCATGGAGCTATCTCAGCCAGCCCACAGGACAGACCTGCTCCGGCGATGAATCACGGCGGGGCAGCACCAGGAGGTTGTTGTCTGCCCTGCTGCTGAGGGAGGAAAACGTGGAATGCAAAGGCTGGCTGTCAGGCAGGGAGAAGGGGGTGTTGGTTAGGTTGGATGTTGCCCCAAAGACTCGCTGTTTGATACCAGGCACGTTGCTTAGACTCAGTATTTAAAGGACTGGACGGCGGCTCTGGTTTCGCACCTGCTGCAAAGAGCTACAGGCAGGGCTGCACAAGGACCAGCACACTGACAGCACTGGGAGCTTTGGAGTGTGGAGAGGG